TATATATATATATATATATAAGAGATAAGGAAAAGGAAGGAAAACATTTTAAACTTCAATATACGTTGAGCTGACTTAGATCTGCATTTTTTTGTCGATTCATTATTAGAAAAGAATTGATGTAAGAATAAGTTAAAATTGTATTTTTTTACTGTTAAAAGATATTGTAAGAATAATGTATTTTTTATGTACAAATATCATCATGAACGGTCAACCATTAACCTCATTGTTGTTGTTGCCATGCCTCTCTCCATTTCTTCATGTCATTATTACAAAAATTGGATTGGAGTGGTCACTTTTTGACTAAAAAACGTGCGAGCCAATTAAGTATTCAATTTACATGACTCGAACATTAACGGTTCAAAAAACTGTTGAGAAAACCACTTAAATCGGTCTGAAACCTTTAGAATAAATGAAAAATGACCAACAGAACATTTATTTTAAAAAAATATTTATTTTCAGAATCAAATAACAATTAAATCTTATATAATGTTTAAATTCATTTACTTACAACTTTTAATTAAAATTTCAATCTTATAGATAAACTACGAATTAATATCATATTTGGTAAGGTTTAATAAACTTTAAAGACATAGAATATGAAGATTTCAAAATCTCACCAAATATATTGTATCAATTTAAGGAGAGAGAGTCAGTAAGTTAGAGTCTATTTGAAAACAAAATATAAAAGTTTGAGATTTTTTACAAATTATTTTAAAATTTGTATCCAAAGAGAAACATTAAGTGAGAGACGTTACCGCTCTGTTATCGGTGGCGACCCCGCATATGACAAACATAAGGAGAAATGTGATTATGAATTCAAACACAAAAGCTTGGAGGTAAGACCCTGTTGGGAGTGTTCCTGAAAACTGGTCATGCTTCCCCATAAATATTAGTCTCAGAGTTCCACTCGCAAGTGTGCTTCCTAGGAGTTGAGCTGCTACATAAGCTGGTACCTACATAACAATTAATGCTAATTGCATCACATGTCCCAACCATAATAATTTTATTTTGTCTTGATTGATTCGAATCACATGTTCTGGCTGCTTATACATGTGCCACGAGGCAATATTTTGGCAATGGTCAATTAGTGTGAGAAGGCCAAATAGAAACAAGTTAATAGGTATTTCATAATTTCTTTTTTTGGTATGGTATCTCATGATTTCTCTTTTTGGTATAGTATCTCATACTTTCGGTACAAGATAAATGGGCTTTAAAGAGATCCATGCAAGAGAGATAAACGTAACAATTAAGAACGAAAATGACAATTTCCAAACGAGCACATTAACCTAATTATGTGTCAAACAAACTCTTTGTGAGCTACCCAATTTTCCAAATGAGCACATTAATTTACCTGCTTCAATGGAAACCTTCCGATGGAGGTAAAAGCAATGGTGACAGCAGGATTGAAATGGGCACCAGAGATGTGACCAACAGAGTAAACGAGCACCATGACAACCAGTCCCCACGTAATTGCTATCCCAGGAAGAGTTACGATGTTGTCGTTGTTCTTGTTCACCACCACTGAACCACACCCCGCAAATATCAAGAAATATGTGCCCACTGTCTCCGCCACCAACTGCATCCATCAACAAACAAATCCATTTTCTCATTTCCAATCTCAAATTTTCTAGTTCAATACGTTCAAACGATTAATTTAGAAAGAAATTGTAATAACATAACAATCCGGTATACTTATATATCTAACCAATTGTAATAAGAAGAATTGAATAGGTTGTTGGGTAGAAAAGAAAGATTAGGAGACACCTTTTGCAAGCAATGGACAGAGACAAAGGAATCTGAACGTTCACATATTTTGGAGGGGTCCTTGGTTACATTTACAACCACCTCGTGGGATTCAGTTCCTGTTGAATAATCAGCCATCGGCGATAGAAAACAAGGAATAAAACTCGGGTTTGTAAATTGATTTGGACACTCTGCTTTGTCTCCTCAACTACATAGGAAGACTTGGAAAACAACTCCAATTTATAGGCACACAACGAGTTGCTCATAATGAGACGGAATAATTTTATATTCTTCTGACCAATCTTTTTATTGTACTCTTTAATTATTAAATAAAATATTTGTTATATTTTAATCTATTTAGAAATGTAATATTAATATTTTTTATTCATTAAAATTATAATGATAACAACAAAATTTAAATTTAAAATTTTGTATATATTATCTTAACTATTATCATTGATATTTTTAAAGTTATATTGATTGATAAAGTAAAACTTTTTACATCGAGAGTTTATAAAAATTAAATTCTTATACTCTAAATATAAATTTAATTAGAATATCCTAACTACACAAGGTAATCTAATTATATATTAACATGTATTTTTTTTATAGATCACAAATATTATTTACTGATATGCAACTTTCACTAGTAATATAATTGTATACTCATACCTATTAATTAAGTTGAAACTAATTTATCACTAATTGAACCAATGTTTTGTCATGTATATTGAAATGTATGATAAATTTATTAGTTTTTATAAAAAATAATTAAAAATTATATTTAGGATAGTTTTTAATGTTTGATGGTATAAACGAATTTATAGTGTACAAAAATTAATATATTCATATATTTTAAATCAAAAGTATTTATTTCATGTAATTGTTTTTTTAAAAATACTAAGACGATGGTTAGAAGGTAGTTTGAGAAGTTGTGACATTGGGCCATTATTAGCCGAGGAGGAATATACTGTGTACAGATATTCCAAATAGGAAAGAAAAAGAATACGCAAAGAGAATAAAAAGGCGCAGACCTTGGACTTATCCTTTCCGAGGGAGAGAAGACAAATAAACCCCATTGGATCTTATGTAGTTTTGATGATGTTAGGTTTTTTTTTTATTTGTATTTTATGGTGCTGGTTTTTAACTTTTTGACGATGTTACAAGATAAAAATACAAAGTAATTATAGTTTTTTTATTTTTATACATACACGTACGTATCTTTTATTAAATAATCATGTTTAAGTCAAATTCGAATAATTATGAGTGACAAAATTATTTTTTAACATTTAATTAATACAACAATAAACTAAGAATTTGAATGTGAGATTATTAGTTAAATTAAAATAATCTTGTAAACATTCTAGTTAATTAACATATTCTATTGGTGGAAAATAATTATAGTAAATTAACCTTATTATTATTATCACTAGTAGAAAATAAGTATATTACGTCACCCCTTTTATGTCGGAAATACGAAAATCCGACGTAAAAAAAATGCGGTGGCATTTTTGTAATTTTTGCGAACTTTTTTACGTCGCACCTGGTTAGGTCCGACGTAAAAAGTCCAATCTACGTCGCACCTGGGAAGGTCTGACGTAAAAAGTCCAATTTACGTCGCACCCTACCAGGTCCGACGTAAAAAAGACGCAAATTTGAATAAGAGAGCGCGAGGCACACCGCGCGCATTCACTTTTCATCACTTTTCATTTTTTTCTCTGTAAACCCTCTCCCTCTTCGTTGTGTAAATCCCTCCGCCTCCTACTCCTTCGGTCCTTCCTTCCTTATAATTTTTCTATCATTCAGTCTCCGTTCATACGACAAAAACAAGCAGTTTGCGTTCATACGACTAAATGTGTATTTTCCTTCCTTATAATTTTTCGAGGTACCATCTTCAAGTTTGTGTTTTTCTGTTTCTGGGCTTTTCTATGAGGTTCTATGACGTAAATGATGTTTTTTTCATCTGTTTGTTTCAAGTTTTTGAAGCTGGAGATGGAGAAGGAAGTGACCAAGTCTACCTGAGAACGCGCTCCTGGGTCTCTCAAGCAGAACGGCCCGTTCTGCTTGCAGAACGGCCCGTACTCCATGGAGAACGGGCCGTTGTTCAAACAGAACGGGCCGTTCTCCAAGAAGTACGGCCCGTTCTGCTTGGAGAACGGCCCGTTCTCCAAGCAGAACGGGCCGTTCTGCTGCACTTGTTTTCTTTTTTTTTTTAAAATTTTTTATGACTTTTTACGTCGGACCTTCACATGTCCGACGTAAATTTGCGTCGGTTTTCGCGCCCCGACGTAAATTTACGTCTCCCGCTTCTACGTCGGACATTTTTCTGACGTAAAAACCCCTAAACTAACCGACGTAAAATGTGTATTATGTACTAGTGTATATACGTGATACCTATTAATCTTCTTCTTTATTTTTATCTCTGATATATGATATTTTCATATTATCTACAGATATAAAAGCATCCTGATTCCTTGTTAATTTCTTAAGTCTTTGACAAGACAAATTAGCATGTAAGGTTAGTGATCAGTTATCATTTCGGCCTTATGGCTGTTGATATTAGTCAATATATTCAAAATGGCTTATTGAGCATTTGAAGTGGTTGATATATTATGCCCTGAAAATAATTTGAAGGCTGAACCAACTACCCAAGAGACATACACATAGCATCATCAACAGGTCTTCAAATATATTTATTTTATTTTTCTTTAAGTATCTTTAAAAATAAGTTTTTTTTTAAATCAAAATCATCCACATAATGTTCCAAACTTAACAATTTATAAAGACTAATATGAATTTATAGACATAATTTTTAGTAGTCAAATATTATTTTAACAAATAATAAAAAGTATAATATAAAATATACATTAATCAATAAAAAAAATATTAATCTTACCTACTCAATCCTCAAACATGTATAAAACAACTTCAAAATCTCATCTTCAAGGGTGGATTCTCCATTTATCTCTTTTAAATTTCTAAATTTATATCAACTTAGTTTGATTGAGACAAGTTGAATCAACTAGTCACATATGAATCTTCGAATTTGTATGTTTGAGGTTTGGAAGTTGTGTACCTTCTAGGCCAAATAGCTTATTAAGATTATTTTCGTTGGATATATTCAAACTATTATATCGATTATCTACCAACTTAACCAAGATAAGGACCAATAATTTAGAATCACAATACGGTAATTATGGTAAGATGTATTATTGCCAAAATAAATTAAAAAATATCTTTAGATAATTTGAGATATTAATGCACTTAAAGCCTCAAACACATTTATACAATCCTCTCTCCTAAAATTAAGATAAGCCATATTACACTATTTCAATGTTTTAAATTTTAGACTACAATCATAATTTTTTGGAGGTAGTTCTTTATACTATAACAATTTCTATACATGTTTTATTGTTGATTACATTACTTATCTAAGCTTCTGCCTATACTCTATAGAGCATATTTTTATACGGTGTAAAAGGACTATTTAAATTTTAAATTTTAGATTGTAATGACGATTTTTTGGAGGTAATTCTTTATACTATAACAATTTCTATATATGCTCTAATGCTTTATTCACATAACTTAACTAAGTTTCTACGCATACTCTATATAGCCTATTTTGATATGGTATAAAAGGACTTTTAAGAGTTTCGCTATTGAATATAAATAATATCTTTCAATAGAGTAACTCAAAAATTATTTTTAAGTTTGTATGTAAACATGCTCATAGTTGAGCATATAAGTTATTTGAGTGTTATTTATATTTTTTTTTAATGTATTGAAATGGTAGATAAAGAGTGGCACATAACTACCTAGTAAAAAACTTATGAGATGTTATATATCTTTTAAAATATTTACATATACACTAGTATAACTTATTTGAGTGTTGTAAATAATACTTATATATAGCCACTCATTACTGTATACAATTGTGAAACTTCCCTATCACCAATTAGTTATCGTAAGAAATGTTATATATAGTGATATATAATAAGTGTCATTATAAGTACAATATATATAAGTATAAATTTAATTTACATATGATCACATATAATTTTCGTAGTTATTTTTTAATGAAATTTAACATCATATATTATGTATCACTTTAATCTATATTTACACTTTCTAACAATATAATTTTATGATTTGTGATTACCATTATCATTTCAAATTCTCCTTACAATTATAACTATAACTTACTAAAATAGTTCAAAGTGGAATGCACGTTTATATATATATATATATATAAACGTGCAGGTAGGTATGCATTAACAAATGTTTATGAGATAAGTTAATGTTTATGAAATTCATTAATGTAGATCCTCCTTCACTTCTTTTAAAAAAAATTATATATTAGAATATTATATAACGACAATTTTCTTAATAAATTATGAATAATAGTTGGTTAATAATATATTTTAACTAAAAATAATATTAATAAAAGAGTTATACTAATTCTTAACCATATATCCATGGGAAAACACTTTCCCAAGGCTTTTTTTTATTATTTTTTATTCTAACACTGTTGAGCATTTTCAGAAACTATTTATTACAATATAGTTGTTTTTGTAATAAATTACAGTAATATCTCTGTTATGTTATGTGTACTTAATTAGTTTTAGAATTTTTTTTACACTAAAATGGCATCAGAGCTACATGTAGTGCTTTTAGAATTCCAAGTTTTGACTAAGAACTCTAAAGCCACATGAAAAAGAGATGTCGCTATTCCATAGCTCCTCATTTTTATTTTTTATATATAGATTGCTATAGTCTATAATTCCTCAATTTTATTTTATTTTTGTCATTGGGGTTTGAAAAATAAAAATAACTTCATTAAATATATATCTTAAAATTTTTAAAAATTATCACGAGAGTTTTAAAATATTTGATCTCTATTAGCTATAGCAATATTTTAAAAGAATTCATGTTTTTTGGTGTTATGTTTTTTAAATTAAAAAATAGCATTTTTATTTTTTAATGCGATATTTTCTCAAAATTTGTTGTATTTTTATAACTTAAGATAGATTTTTAAAAGTATTAAGATATATTTTTCAAACAAATCTGTTATATATTTTATATTTTTTAATTAAGTTATTTTTATATCAAACTCCAGCAATCTAAAAAAATAATTGGAGGGAGTTATATATGTATTATAACGAACTCCAATAAAAATTTAGAGAAACTATGAGTTATAGTGATATGCAAAAATAACAGAAAGAGTTAGGATTATA